AGCTAATAGAAAACCTTCAGGAGATTAAACTAGGTTCTCAGCAAGTATAAATAGACATTTTACCATTGCTGTGGATTGATTCAGTTAATTTCCATGAAGTTTTTAGTAAAGTTTTTAGTAAACCAAATTTCTTCTCCGAGTGCTTTGGTCCCTGTTCATATGGCAGGTTTCTAACATTGGCATGTTCTAGTGAGGGCAAAATTTGAGGGAACAGCAAGAATACCAGGGCTGAAGAGAAAGAAAAATGTGGTTGTATAGAATAGCACAAAAGTTGAGCAAAGACTATATAATACAGCATTGTAATATGTCGCTCAGATGGTTGAAATAGAAAGGGACCTCTGAAGGTCATCTTGTTCAAGAAGGGCCACCTACTGCCAGTTGCGTAGGACCATGTCCAGATGGTTTTTGAATATCTCCAAGGACAGAGATTCCACAACCTCCTTGGGCAATCTGTGCCAGGATTAGTCAGCTGGGTGGCCTCCAGCATGCGCTGGTGCATGGGCCTGTTCCTCTCCAGGGGCAGTACTTTGCTCTTCTCTTTGTGGAGCTTTGCAGAATATATAATAACGGAGGCCTGGAGAGGTCAATGGGGAAGAGCAGGTGCAGCAGGACCAGCGGGGTCACGAGCGCTGCCCAAGAAGAAAGCTACAGCTATGGTGGACACCATCTGCCATGGGAGGTAAGCAGACAGCAAAACTTGTGATTGAGAAGCCAAGGGGAAATATGGAAGAAGAGAGAGGAAATTTACTGAAAAAGAAACTTCAACATTTTCTGTCCAACTGGCAAAAGCTAATTTTGAAAAGAAGAGAAATACAGAGCTTTTGCCACTTAGTTTTCTAAGATGAGTGAATAGAAAAGAACAAATGTAGAAGTCATGACACTAAATTTCAACATAACTGAAATCCTCCACAGTCTGAATCTATGAATTTGCTTCATCTTTAGATAAATAAACAGCTCAGAGATAAGAGAGACGTGTTACAAAATCTCATGCCTGGGTGAGTAGTTCAGAGTTAGGAGCATTTGGTTTTGGTATAATCCACAGAACTGCATGGCCAAAATCACTGAAAAGCCTCTGCTTTCTTAGTGGTCTCAGTATATTACAGATTCAGTGGGTATATTGGGTAGTACGACAAAGTATTTTGACGCACTGGCCATCATTTTTTGTTTAAATTAAGGACTTGAATACAGAATAAAAAACCTCACTTCTCAGTTTATACGCTTATATTAATTAAACCTCCCCAGTTATGTTGCATCTCTATCCTCAAAATTGTCTCTTCCAATCAAATCTTAAAATTATAAAAATAACTTTACTGGTTTTGGCTGGGATAAACTTAATTTTCTTCACAGTAGCTAGTATGGGGCTATGGTTTGGATTTGTGCTGAAAACAGTGTTGATAACACAGAGGTGTTTTCATTACTGCTGAGCAGTGCTTGCACAGAGTCAAGGCCCTTTCTGCTTCTCACCCCACCCCACCAGCGATGAGGCTGGGGATGCACAAGAAGTTGCTGATCCCAGCTGTCCAAAGGGATAGTCCACACCACATGACGTCATGCTCAGTATATAAAACTGGGGGAAAGAAGAAGGAAGGAGGGACATTTGCAGTTATGACATCTGTCCTCCCAAGTCCCTGTTATGCGTGATGGAGCCCTGCTTTCCTGGAGATGGCTCAGTGACCTAAGTTTAAATGTTTCAAGAAGCAGTGATGTTAAGTTTCAGTCTACCTTTAAGAAAACAATTAAAAAAATTTAATTTTGCTACTGAATATGACAGTAATCATAGACCTGCCTTAAAAACTATTGAACTGGTCTGTGCTGACTCAAGTCTACAAACAATGACACAGTATTTTTTTCCGATGTTTCAAAAATTGCAAAAGGTTAAAACTTGTTAATAGAATTTGATCAGAAAATGAGAGTCAAGGCTGAAAGAAAATATGAAGTGACACAGTAGTCTGATGCTACCTGCTAAAATCTGCAGAATTTTTAACTATTTCAGAAGAATGAAGAAAAAGAAGTCCTTTCTGTTTCAATCAAAATAGGTTACGAGTTTTCTTAAAGGGTGACCTGTATTTTTGCACCAAAGGCCTCTTTTGTCTTCAGAGTTGTGGTAGGGCTGGAGCCAGCCTGCATGCTTGCAAATCTTTTGTCTAGCTAGAGGAAAGGAAGAAAAGAGAAGACAACGCCAGAAAGCGCTCGCTAGCCCCAAACAAAGAATCCATCACTATCAAAGCACTAGCAATCCTTGGTTCATGCTGCTTTGTTTCTCTCAGTGCAGGATTATAAAAGCATCTTTGGCTGTATGTTTTGATAACAGAAATTAGTACCTTGTAATGTTTAAATCAGCAGCTGAAAGACTTCTTAAGTGAATGTGACAGTATTTGAAATGTCCTATGCTGCCACACTTAAGATATGCCAATCACAATTAATAGCAACAGATTTGCTATTCCAAAACAAATAAAACTTGCAGAGTTTTTCTGCTGAATGAAGAGCTGATGAGTGAAAACAGAAGCAAAATTACCACAATAGCCAGTTAGCCTGTCAATGGAAATTACTTTCATTTGTCTGTATTCACAAGGGTTAGTAAACAATAATGCTTCAGCTAATATAGTTTTTGTTATACTCAAATTGAACGTGAAATGCAGACTAACGTTATAAATAGATCTGTTACTCTTTTGCACTGGATTTGGAGGTCTTCTGAGTCTACGTTTAAATTGGTCTGTAAGTTTCACATATTTTGATATCAACTCTACTAAATTTATGTCATTTTTCCTGCTAGCAAATTAAGGGCTATCCTCTTGTTTGAATAAGAGATGTTTCTATAGCTTCCTCTCACTCAGGAGGAACCAAGTGAACTTTTTATGTTATTGTAGCGGATTCTAAAGAGTTGTGCTGAAAATCACTTGGCAGGGTGGTAAGATCTCTCTGTCTGTAAATAAATGCTTCTACCTTTCAAGTTCTGTGAATTCCTTTTTCTGAAGTCCCACAACAGTTTTGGTGGTCCCAGCTGCCATGTCCCACCAGCAAGTTTTACTGATACTGAGTTGCATTTCATGACCCTCTTATCACGGGGAGTGGATGCATATCTCCTTGAGCAAATTCCTTGTCTTTGCTTTTTCCAGGAGATTCTGCTTTTTTGTCATCTGACCCCGCTTCGTTTCATCTAATTTCTCCCTCATCCTCATGCCTACCTCAAGGCTGCCCTCTAAGCCCTCCTCAAGCACTCACTTTTACTGACTGGTAAGAAAAACCTGTTCTCTGTAAGCTAACTGAGCATCTGTTGAAGGGCTCCTTTCGAGCTCCTCCTCTGGACCTATGACTTTGGAAACTTCTGAATATCGAGCAACACGGGCTTACTTGAATAGACACAAGGCAAACAAGTCAAATAATAATTCATGAGATTGGAACGTGTGGTTAAACTAGCTTTGCTTCCTTTAAGCCTTGCTGGGCAGTGTTCTATAAAGCTTTTAGGGACTAATAATGTTGGGAGCCAGCAGGGATGCTAAGGCTAATACCAAGCAATAAACCTATACAAAATTCCTCACGTTCATGCAGTAAAGAAACTAACTCACAGGTTTCAACCTAACAGGCAGACAGATGCAATGGGTCTAGTTCTGTAATGGACCAACTGCTTTCTCACAGTTGGATTCCCTAAACAGTTACACTGGGAATATTTTGGACAGAAAAGAAAACTTTATAAACCCACCCACATACATTAAAAAAACTTCTGTAGCTCTCAACTGTCTCTGAAGCCTTCGATTTTCTTTAAAAAAAAAAACACAACAAACATGAAACAAACTCTTCAGCTTTCCCCAGCTGGTCATCACTGTTCAATGCAAATGATAATTTTAAAAGCAATGTCTCTAGGTCAGTGTGTTTAAAGTCATACCTCTTATGGAAATTTCCAACTTCAGCTTTTCTTCTTTTTTTGGATATTGGAGTTGGTTTAGCTTTTTTCCCTTCTACAAGTTTCATACTTGATTTTAATGCATTCCTTTAGCTTTTATGGATGTCATCTGATTGTTTCTAACATGGAATGATGTAATTTCTAAATTACATGTTGCCAGAGTTACGTAAATATGATGCTTTTACCTACAGCATTCCATCCAAAGTCATGTTAAAATCCGAAAAACTATCTGAGAGTTTTGAGGATGAAGTGGACATGACTCTTTGCAGAGCAGATGCTCCGTGCGATTACAAATAGGTGTACCTGCAGTGCCAGTAGTGACTGATGAACAATTACATGGATATGCCAGAAGGTACTCGTTCTGTTTTGTTGTCAAGTGTTATTATCTAAATCTTCTTTGTTCTCATATGAAGGTTATGTTATCTTATTCCACTTTACATTACAACTCTAATTTCTAAACTTGAATTTTAAGTAGCATAACCCAAGCCAAGATCTGTAGTCTCTGATGTCTTCAGGATGCATAGTTAAAACTCTGCCAGAAGAGATAAATCGTGAATGACTTGGGAGTATAATGAGAGTTGGTGAATAGCTTGGGATACACCAGATGCTACATGGAATTGTGAAGGCATGCTGAAAGGCCAGAGAAGGTTGAGTCTAAACATTATATAGGAAAACTGAGATAATCAGAAGAGGGAGGAAAGAATATCAGATGGATACAATAAGATCAAACTAAACTTAGTTCAAAAGCCAAATCCCAACGTTTTCTGTCTGACTGCAGAAGAACGTAGCACTCGTATTAACCACGAATAATTCTCCAGCGGATAATGAGAAATACCTTTTTTTTTTTTTCCAGAGAAAAAGCCTCATTCTTTAATTAGACAACTACAAATCAAAACAAGTCAGCATGTAGTGCTCTGAACTTCTCATGGTTCCTACACTGGGCAGCCAAATGTTTTAGAAACCTTATAGCACAAGGCTTTCCAGTGCTCCCAGTCCCTCGTGGGCTATGGGAGGGAGGCAGGGAAGAGGAAGGTTTCTATAGTAACAGGGATGATATATAGGTTTTCTCTCGGAGGCAGGATCTCCCTCTGTCTCTTACCTTGTTGCACAAAGGATCCATACACAAACCACATGGAGTTGTAGAGGGTTGTGGAGGTCATGGATCCCATCTGAAGGCGCGGGGGGTTGAGCCAGTTCAAGAGGTAGACCAGTAGCCCTACTAACAGCACAGTGCCAGCTATGCATGCCCACAGGGAGAGGTCAAATGGTGCCAAGCAGGCAAACATGTCCACTGTCTTCTCTGCCTTTCGAAGCAGCACGCCCACAGAGTAGTCCATGTAACGCGTTGTGAAGTCCACCACGTTCTCCCTGTCAGGGGTGATGGTTAGGGCAGAGATCCCTATATCAGCTCTCTGAGGAAAGAGGGAGAGAGAAAAACATGCGTAAGTAGCAACTACAGAAAAGATCTTCATTCCTCTGTGATTTATAGCAGCTAAACTTATGGAGAAGGAGATGTCCAGGCCAACATGTTGAACATCATATCTATGAACACAGAAATGTGACCAAGGCATGAACAAAATAGCTGTACCACATGTTTTAGTTTCTGTAAGCAAACCTCACTTGGTGGGCTCTGGCACATTGCTTCTCCATGTTGTTGCTTTCCAAGGAATCAAAATACTTCAAATACAGATAATAACTGGAGGAAATCTATTTCTAGTAATTTTTCTCGGCCTGTCTTACTGAAGTCATTATTGTCATTGTGGCAAAAGGCAGACCTTGAGTATAGCATTTCCAATCAAAGGAAATTAGTAGCCTGATAGAGCCAGATGATATCCAGCATTTTGGTGACGTGATGATCATGACAAAGGGCCACTGAAATACAAAGGGCATTTCATACATCCTGGGATTTTGGGGTCACTTGAAATTCTGAAAAACATTAATTTTGGCTGCAGAGTCTGAAGTGCAGAAGAGCAGATACTCCATGCAGTTCCTTTACTAGTAATTCCTCTATATCCTCTTGCTAAGTAATTCCTCTCAAAGCCAACCTGACCTGCAGCTACTTTGGGCTTGTTTTGTGCCATTTACATTTTTTGTAATATAAAGAACCCATTTCAGATGAGGAGAGGATGAATAACGTTCCTTGATCTAATCATTGTATTTCACAGCACGTCCAGGTATTAGGTCTCCAGAGACACCAGGCACAACTACAGCAGGTGCTATTTTACTTTTCACACCTACAATTAGAACTGCAGTGAAAACAAGAAAGGGTATTTAAAGAAGACACATTAACACTATTTTAAAAAGCCCAAATAGTGAATAAAAAGACTGTGAATTCTGGATATTTTAATATGAAAAAGAGTACTTACAATACTTTAAGCTGCTACTAGTTTCATTTAATTCATTTCTGTTCTGCCTAAAGCAGTGTGTAGTCCTTTGGAAGGGGGTGAAGAGAGCAAAAAGGCTTGAAAGCACTGTGTCAAATTTTATTAACTCTCTTGAATTTCTTTCTTCTTACCCAAAGAAGGCAGAGATGACTAGATCCTTAAAACTGTGATGTGAAATATTAAGTGGGAAGGTATGGCAGATGAAACTGATTAGAATCAAATCTGCAAATCATCTCAGCTCTTTAAACACCATTTACAAAACAGTCTACAGCCCATGGTACAAACATAATTTTAATCACAGTGCACTTAAGAGTTTGGTTTAAACGAATGTTATTTTAATGTTATATTAATTGTTCACTGATTTGAGAAAGTGATGGAAGATAGCTGGAGGCTGATGATTTGAACAAAAAAGTGTTTGAAAATACTGATTTGCTTAAAAGTCATGAATTAGAGCTTCGGCTTTAATTTGTGAGTTAGATTCTCTAGTATCTTTAATGAAGCTGTGTTGATACGTGCAGCTGAAAGCATGGCTTCATGAACTCACTTCATTGTGCCTTCCTAACAATTTCTTGTAAGCGATGATTTAACTGCCCTTTGCCGATGAACAGAAGCAAACTCAGTCGGTAATCCAAGTAAATATTTTATCAGAATTGTCAATGGAAACATTCAGATCATCTTAGTCTCTATTCTCTGATTATAAAACTTTAGGTCAACAAGTGACTTGAGTGATTCACAGTTAAGTCCTAGCTCTAGTAAGCAAGTTGCAAAGCAGTCATCATTTGAACTGTTTTCCACAATTGTGAATATAAATGTATTTTAAAAATAATTTACAAATGTAAAAGTCCAATGCTCTATACCAATAATCGTCAGAGGATAACATGGTTATATTTAATGAATAAAAGTTGGGTTTTTTTTTTGCTTGTTTGTTTCTTTCTTGAATGTATATCAAAAAATGAAACAGGAATTCAAGATCAAAGGAGGACACATAGAAACAAAAAGTCCAGGACTTAGCCCCTGCTGTTTAACTTAGCTGCTTTATTAATGATCAGCATGTTACTAAAGCACTTCCCTACCACATTAGATTATTGTGAGGTGCTAATTCAAGTTGTATTTGTAAGATATTTAAAGATTTTCCACTGAAAAGCAATATACGTAAATAAAAATACTTTTACCAAATAATAGATTAGTGTAGGACTGAATGACTAATAGATATTTTGGGGTTTTTTTTCCCCCACTTAAAAGAGAAACATATTTCTGCATGAAATATATTGAAGGGCATTGCATGAAAAAGCACAGTATGTGGTATTTGTGGAAATACTGCTTCTATTTCACATCTCTGGGGAGCAGTTTCTCCAAATTCCCTAGCATTATGGTTTTACTCTGGTTATCAGCCAGCTATAATGGAGGAACAACATTGTCTTGATGGAAATGTTGCATTTCCTTTGTCATACTGCAGCAGCAATCATGGTATAATTATGTTTTGTGATTAAAGAGTGGTAGTAAAGTAAAAAATAGAAAGGAGTGAGATAAGTCCTGACCTCTCAGTAGTCCTGTGTTTAGCTGCTTAAAAAAAATAAAAGGTTACACTGAAGTATAACAACTTATATTCTTAACTTACTAAATTGAATAAAACCCACCAATTTACCAGAAAATCGCATGTTTAGCACAAAGCTAAGCTTAGGCTCAACTTAATAGTACATCTACTGATGGTGAGTATTCTTAATTACATATAGATTCTGTCAACTTTCATCAAAATTGGAAGACAAAAAAAATTGAATCTTGTCATTAACATGTCAAATTGGATCAGAGAAGACATCAATTTGAAGAAGCTAAGGTTCACTTAATGCTTCTGAGATAGAAAGGCAAATGCATGCAATTATGTCAATATTTACATGTAAAGCTGCCAATCTAAATTATAAACATGTAAAACTCTTCACTCGCTAAGTTTTCACAGTGCCAAAATCAACCAACGATCAGCATCTTAGATGTCTATTTAACACATTTCTAATGAATGAAACTGTGATTCCTGAAAATGACTGGCTGAAAAAAACAGCAGAGGGCATTATTTTTCTTTACGTGACCTGCTCAGGAATTTATATTTGTTAACAGCAGTTCTCCAGCGGTCATTGCAGAGCATTACCAGAATCAGAAAATTCAAAATAAATGACCAAATGAGTCTGATAGCATTGTTATTGGTGTCACAGAACCAGCTCAACAGCAAAGCCTAGAAATCCCTGAAATGTCCCTGTGCTATTACTTAAGCACACACATCTCATATACATAGAAGTCAATCCTAGGATGATTCTTGTGATTCATGATCAAGAAGAGGGAAAATAAACTAATCTACTTTAAATTGCTCCTGTGAAATCTTTCATTTTATCCGTTTTCAATGTTATGCTGGAAGCAATAAACCACGGTCCCAAATGTTATGTGGTTACTAATATGGACACGTAAAACATAATCACAGAGACGTTTTTTCTCAAGCTAACGCACATACATCCAAATAATTATTTCACTCAGCCATCATTTTTTCTTTTCAATCTGTCCTTCCTGTATGCTTTCTTCCTTCCTATGCTACTCCCCTTAGGAAGATGCATGAAAAAAAGAGCCTTACAAGATGGTTCTTCTTGGCTTGCAGTTTCTATTAGAAATGTTTAGGCATGTACTTAGTTTTCCTTTTCTGTTGGACCTAAGTGCAATCAGGCATTTTTCGCTATGCTATTTGCTTCTTGATGGCTCCTCATTGGAAAAAAATCCTAGCAACCAAACTAGCACAGTGAAACCTGGGAAATGGTTGATGGATGGGAAGTCCAGAGCCATGCTGGAAAGCCTACTATCCTCTTCCTGAAGTGTCATTAGCCACTTCTCTTGTCTGTCACACAGGACCATCCCTCTGTTAATGTGGACTTGAGGGCAAGGAAACTAAGTGCTGTGAAAAGACACAGATAACTAACAGCTAGAGAAAGATTTGCAGTAAAATGATGGTCCCGATATGGTTTTAGCATCTCCACAGAGAGCTGCTGCTTTCTGAACTAAGCCTGTTTGTGAGCTGAAACTCTGTGGGACTCACTGAAAGCCCTGGTCATTTAACAGGAAAGAGACAAGAGGGCCACATGTCTCTTACTAAGAGCATTTATCCTCTGTAGACCTTCTGGTTCAGGTGCTCAGCAAACTGAAAGCTTTTCATGGCATGGTTACATTCAGTTTATTTAGACAGGACGCGGTGTATGGAGCAAGAGTGAACCTTATATAGGTCTTGACAGTCAAAAGAGGGGAGGCTTGAGCCAGTTTCCAAACTCAAATTAAAGACCAGTTGCTTTCATCTGCTGCTTCCAGCTCCTATTTTAGCAACCAAGAGAGACCTTGTCTTCAAAGCTGGAACAGAGTGAACTTGGCATCATCTCATGTCTGCAAGGCCAGCTGTGGACCTAGGACATGCACTTGACACCACAGGGCTTCTACCCTGCACTGCAGCTCAAGCAGGTTTGCTGCAGATGAGAGCAGCCCGGGACAGCTCTTGCTGATACCCGGACCTGCATCAGAGCCCGCTGCATGCTGAGTCGCGTTAACGCCAACAGCATACGTCGATCTTGAACACGGAAATTATGTCCTTGCTACTGCAACTGCCATTTCATATGGCACATCTGTAGCGGCCACCGACATCCTTCTCAACGAGAGGCACCCAAAAAAGAGAAGGGAGCTATTTTCCATTACTTGTCGTTTGCAGAAATACATTGTTCCCAACTAATTTCTGGCTCACACACTCACAGGCAAAGAGCACTTTCTCTGTTTCTGGATTTCCTCCACATGTTGGCCAGACTATCATGTAAATAAGACTTGATTGGGAAAAAGAGGAAACACTGTTTTAAACAGGTTAGACCTTTAATTTAAAACTATTCTCTGCTCCTTTACTTCCCTTTACAAAGTTTCCAAGCAGATAGCTATTTGAGCTCTGGGAACAGAACTCAGTTCACAGTAAATAAGAAAGGAGCCTTTCAGGAACAGCTTGCACTTGGTGAGGGGTAGATATACAATGGCTGCTTGCCCAGAGGTTCTCTTCTGCTTTAAGAGGGACAGAGAATGGGAGAGAAGGGTACAGTGAACCTTCACTGTTAATTATATAATGGGTAAGGAAGATGAAAAATTATACACTGCCATGGTATTGGGAAAACATGTTATTTGAATTCCAAATGCAGTTCCATTAGCTGTTCATACTTTCTAACTGTACAGAAAGATTTCGTATCCATTAAGATTCATTTACAGCAAAACAGTAGCAGACTGGTAAATCTGTTCTATTTGTGACATCTATTTACAGATCTAGGTGGTTACCGCTTTAAGGGTGTTTAACACTAGAGTTGTACAAGTCCCTACCTACTAAGGGGACAAAAATGCCATATACATTTTTCAGTGAACCATTTGATGATTTCAGTTGTTATCAGTTCTGTTTTATGAATAAATCATTTTGAAGAAATAAAAAATGTTTCAGGCCCACTTCTATCTCCAGAGCCATCTCGAGCTAACACCTCTCCAGCTTGTGTTATGCAGTGGCCTGCTGAGTCCTTTGCTGAGTACTGTAGAGAGCAGAGGGTAGTATAACATCAGATTTAAGGAGCAGAAAAAACGATAAAAATAAATCAATGAGCCATTGTGGTGTTACATTTCACAATTAGATGAGGGATTTTCAGTTGCTACAGTTTAAAAGATGGAGAGCGAGATACTTTTAAAAGTGTCTCCAGCTTAACATCTATGATCACAACATTCCACCTTCCAGCTTCGTAAGGGCATAGGGAGACAGCAATGGAAGTTTATTACTGCAGGGTAGATATATGAACTGTGTGGTTGTTTTCCATTCCAGCAGGCTTCTTACTACTCAGGAAGGCAAAATAGGTTAAAGCTATCACTGATTTTTTTTTCCCCATAGGGTTTGTTTTTTATTTTTTTTTCCTTTTTTTTTCCCCTTTACTGCAAGACTTATTTTCCAGCATTCTGCTAACTTTCAGCTGAAGTATTTAATGGTTAGATTCTGTTTCTGACTCCATTGCTCCTTATGCTTTGCTATGATTATGAATTAAATTCCACCTGCAGATTTGGAAGAGCACTTCCATAAACAATGAGTAAGTTATTTACATGAATATCTACTGCAGTTATTTAAGGAAAACCAAAAAATGTAGGGCTCTATAGCTGTAAAAGCTGCCTCTACAGGTTAACTAAGAGCAAGTAAGACATATATATATGTTCATGGCACAAACGAGACATCAGCAAAATAGAGCCTGTCTTTCTCTCTTAATGGGAGAAACCGCAAACAGACAAGATACAAAGAGTGGGGAAAAAAGAAAAATATGGCATATTTATTTGGTTTAATTTATTTATGATACAATATTGAACATTTAATGTAAAATTAAGTAGACTAAATAGTTTATTAATTACAGAATAGAGAACATACTCTTGATTCATACATCTACATAATGTGTTATTATATATCAATAAAACATTTTCTGTTGATGTATTCATCACACCAACATTTTTCTAAGTGCTATACATTATTTATGTAATGTATCGCTAATTACTGCAACATCAATTTTTCCTTTTTCAAACAGCCTCTTCAACTCATTTGTGTCGGGTGTTGCCAAATTAATTAGGACGATGTGCATCCCATTATTTGACTGTATTCAGATTTCATACTGCTGTACTTTGGCTGGAAAAAAAAGAGATTGCCCTGCTTCTTAAACAGTTACCAGCAAACCTTATTTCCAGCTTTTTCTTTACTTCCCAATGGACCTGGGCATACTATCAAATGCTGGTGACACAGGCAATGAACAAAGTTCTATCACTAACTTACTGAAAAACGTTAGTGGCCGATGCAAACATAATATACCATGCATTATTTAGCTTTATCATATGACCTTATTTAGTGAGTCATTAATAACCTTACCTTAAATACCAGTTCTCCTATCAGTCCATTCCATGACCCATCATCCTGAGGACTCCCGTACTTGTGATCTGGTGCAACATAAATTTCATATTTAAAGCCAAGGTAAGTGGCCAAGGCTTCCAACACATCTATCGAGAAGCCCTGATACTTCTTTGGTTTTCCCAGAACATTTTCAGACACCATGACAAAGGGTTCTTCCTAAATAGAAAACAAAGTAGGCAACTGTTAGTAAAGCAATTACATGAAACATTTGGGTGCTGTTTTTCAACAACTTTTTTTTTTTCTTTGTTTGTTTTTAAAAAAAAGCCAAGGAGGAACTATTTAAACACTGTTTATGCAAAACTTTCCTACAGCAGATTGTTAGCGGTGCCTCTTGCATTCTGCAGAATGCTATTTTCGTATGTATTTACTTCAACAGAGAAATTTTCTTCTCTACTATGGATTTCAGAGGTAAGTCTTCTATTGTAACATTACAACTAAAATGCTTTACAGTAATGCCTTCTGTCCACACTTGTGTGCAGCAGGGCAGGCATGCACTGGTATGTTAGTCCATAAATACAGAGGGTTCTGCAGCAATGTCAGTTTCCATTGGCTGGCCAAACACTGTATCTGATAAATGCAACTACTGATTCATGCTCTAAGGAATGTAAAACATGGCAAAATAGGCTGTACCACCAAAACATGCATTTATCTCATCCTTCTGTTGTGATCTGAATATAACATGGCTGACTTTAAATAGTTCCATCCAAAGAGCATCTATTTGATTAATTTAGGAAGAATCAATTATGGGATTTAAATTTGTGTCTAAGAATAATTTATGAATATTCATCAAGAAGGTGACTATAATAAAAGATGAAAATAGAATTGGTCAGTAAGATTTCCAAACAATATGCTTTTCTTTTCCTTTTCCCTAAGATCTGTATTTTTTTTCTCCAATTTGTAATTAATATTTCAATAACATTCTCAGAAAAATACTATTTATTTGCTGATTTGTTTTTTCCCCCCTCTATTATTCTTCCTGTTAAGCATTTGTTTTCTACACACTCTCCTTCACACCTTTTAAAAATGAAACACAAAAAAGAGATCATAATTCTGAGTATAAAAAGATATATTTGCCAAAGGTAGATCTTGCTTATGCTTGTTCTTTGTTTTCTTTGAGAACATCTGTTTCATCTACCTAAGTAGAGCAAAAGTATCAAACCTCCCTCAAAAATATGAAGGCACTCTAACAGGTATTTTTTTTTTAAAATATACTCCATTTCTTCCTTTTAATTCTTTAGATGGTGCTGTAATTAAGTACGACTTTCTCAGAAATATCCATTTTGAGGTGCAAAAAGTTAGTTCTCACTTGGTCATGACAAGCACATGAAATCACTTCCTGACCACTTCCTGCTTCCTACATAATCTACAAGTGTACAGAAGAAAATATAATTGATTTTCCATCTTATTTGTGGCCCAAGTTTTAATTGTATCTCCAAAAGCATTCTTGTTCTTGTTCAAATGATCTTTTTTTATGTATTATTTTACCACATATTTCTGTCAATGACTCTGAAGCCAAAGTAATTTTCACAAATTTTTCACTAATATTTCACTAAATCTTTTTAAACTCTTAGTATGCCTTTCTATATGAACAGGTATCACTGAATTGCAGGCAGGATGTTCTCAGAATAAGAAAACATCATTTGTAAAAGCTTGAGTTAACATTCATGACAATAGTTACATGCTGAGAATGTTGCCAAAGAAGCAAGGATGCAACCAGCCTGCACTGGCAGGATAGTCTTTTCTGACTGCAGGAAATCCAGAAGAAAAACCCAAACCTCCAAAACCGAAGCAAAACCTCTCCCAAATGAAAACACGGAGTGAATTCAACTTTGCTGGTCACTTGGATGAGAGATTCCCTACGCATAGACTCAAAACTGCTGGGAAAAAATGTTTCTACTAAAAAAATAAACATTCTCATTTATCAATCTAAGTACAGTTGTGTGTACTGAAATTGATTTTTTGTATTAGAAAGGATTTATTGTTATCACTTCTAAGTTATTAGAAAATAGCTGCTCATAAACTTATATTTTCATCAGTTATTTAAAAAGCAATTGCTAATTGTAATGATTTAAAATACTTTAAAATGCAGTTTGTCACAACTAACTTCAGACTTTTATTAAGCTATGTAACATTGTTTGCTGTTGAGAGATTTACAAAAAAAACCCCAATGTCCAGTGTGCTAAACACAGTCAAAGAGCATTATGCAAAGCAGCTAACACTTCCCAGTTTCTGTTGAAGCCTGGAACGGCAAAATATTTAATCATATTCCAAACAAATCTATTGCTATGTTTCTTTGTAATCGATTACATTTCTCAGAAGGCATTGAAAGTATAAAAATATTTGTCTTGATTTTCCCTCCCATAAATGCTGCAAGCTGAAACTATGCCAAAACTAAGCTGAATGACTGGGAGGGTGTTATGGGAGCTCCTATGGAAAGAGATAAGCATCCCTACAATACTGATGTTAAAATGATTGTCTCCATCCTTGAGAAAGCAGATCTTGTAGAAAGAAAATACACAAAACCAGTCAAATAATTTCACCTACTGAACAGAAAAACGATGAGAAGAAAAAAAAGGTCATAGAAAGGGAGTGTCAAAAACTCACAAGCTAACTAATGAGTTTGGAGGTGGCAAAATTCACCTGGATGATGAAGCTTCCATTCAACCCCAATAAATTCAAGAAAATCCTGATACGCTTTCTCTCCAAAGCAAGTGGTAATTCAGCCTGTATAAGCAGGTCTTTCTAAGAGAAGTCGAACAATCGTCATCCTTGGAGATAACTCAAAACTCACCTGGACACAGTCCTCAACAACCTGCTCTAACATTAGCCCTACTTAACACAGGTGCCTTCTAAGCGTCCCTTGAAACCTAAACTGTTCCAGGATGCAGTGATCAAAAGAAGGACACTGTTCCTGCTTCTCCTTTATCTTCCATGTTTGGAAACACCTCTCTAGGAGACTGATGAGCCTCTGTGGGACAACAGCAGACTTCACAACCTGTAAAATCAGGGAAGTCTGGAAAAGCAAAGAAGTCACAACGGCCATGACTGAGGAGGAAAGAAAAAAAAAAAAAAAGGAAATTAATAGATTGCTTGCCCTTTACTTCTTGGTTTTGCAAGATGGATGATACACCTCACTAGGCCCCCTAGCCGTTAGATATATTTAGGGAATTGCTTTGCATTCAACCTCAATGGAGATCCTTTAAGAGAGGAGCTACTTTCCTTCTACACTTTATCCTCGATGTTCCTCTTTGTAAACTGAATGCAGCACTACTAAGCCCATGGTAAGAGCTCCTTTTCAAAGTAACTCCAGTTATCACTGTCTGGTTTCTTCTTGGGATTTAAGCTGTGCTGCCCTGGTACAGAGGAGGAGGTGTTTAAGACTGGATGTGGATCGAAGGATTTTACACAGTGTTGTGGGTTAACCCTGGTAGACAGGCTAAGCACCACACAGCCAGTACTACCTGCAGCAAAATGAAAGTCAGCAGCAAACCAGTAAAGTTTACATTGGGTGAAGCTGTGCATATTGCTCTTTACAACCGTAAGAAGGCAAAGTCTGGTTCCAGAGATGATTACCCCCTGAGCAAGAGAAGCTGCAAAACGCTAGCAGACTAGCACATCTTAGGAAGGCTAAAGGTAGACTCAAGATAAAGGTAACAGCATAAAAAAAGGAAAGTGTTGGGAAAGATGACACAATAGTACAAATACACTGGTAAAGCAGCTCACAAAAACGCTTGTCTCCATTCATTTACCTATTATCACCAGGTTTATAAAACCTTTTAAGGAAGAAGCTACACATTAAGACTGACATAGGTTAACAACATGCTACATATTAAGACTGACACAATTTAACATCCTCTTCCCACCAGAGCAACTAGCTACCTTCTCATGCAATAGCTTTGGTGATGCTTAGCTCCTTTATTAAAGTAATTCTACTATTCAACAATCACAAAACTACTCAATTTTTGTCAAGTGAGTTGAACTGATTGCCAGGGGTCCAGACATATGCCAGAGCCAGGACAAACAGTGAAGTAAGACTGCACAAGCAGAAGTGAGGAAGTACCAAGAATGTCTCCTTTTTGGTATGGGGCATGGTTAAGCAGCTCAGACATCTTACCCAAATCTATGTTCAGATGTGCAACACAATATTATTTGAGCACTTTTCACAAATTAGGGTATATCACTGAAATACTTGATTGGGTAAAGAAGAGTTATCATCGGCGTTTTCACACGCAGGACTGAAATGCACAGATTTCATGACCTGTACAGCTGAGAAGTGAATCCAAGTGTGCTGGGTCAGGGACAAAAGCCTTAACCATAGACTGTTCTCCCCCTCTCTTACTTTAACACTCTAAAACATGCGTACTTAAATATGTATCTGTATTCTGGAGAACCATGAGTGTAAGAGTAGGAAAACCAATAGAGGAAAGCAAGCATGAGATGAGAAAAAAGGAAGGTGGGATCCAAAAATGAGATGTCTAGACTAAGGGAGAGAAAAGTCTTGAAAGGACTGTTTGCCAGGATAAAATTGTGAGTGGACGACAGAGATTGTGAAGTCCTCTTGTCCAGGCAGAACCCAGAGCAGGGCAATATAGGCACAAAAAGGAATGTCACACATTCAAACCCCAGTCATCAACCCCTGTCCCCCGAATTTTAGACAGTGGGAAGTAGGGGAGAGAGAATTAATTTTGTTTCATTTTAAACATATCAGTGGAAATTAGAAATTGATAGTATAGAGCTTGAAGCAGTCTGAATTCAAGATTAGTAAAAAAAAAATGCTGCACTTTATTTCTGTTTTCAAGAAGGTTAAGGACTAACAGTTTTACCTATTCAGGTTCTGGTGCACATAAAAATGAAGTAACACAAGGTTTTTTAAGTGCTTCAAGAGTCTAAGATTAAAAGTAAAAAATGTAGTTTTTATTTGCTTTGATGAAATTTGCAGAAATATGCCAATAATTTAAATGTAATAGTTGGTCTGAATTAATCTTTTCTTATCCTTTACTAGACCACCTAATAAAGTTAAAAATAAGAAAGAGGGACAAGCTTTTTGGCAAAGACCTTAATGTTTGAAAACGGAAGGAGCTATCCTCAAGCTAAACAGCAGAAAAGTACAATTGCTTTTAGTTTGACTTGGTTATATTAATTAATTAGACAATCAA